TGAACTGTTTTAACTGCATTTCCCACATTTACCTGACCACCCTCTGCGAGCTGCATGGAGCATTTAAGTTTAACACCATTAAACACCCAAGAAACAGGATCTGGCAAAGGAGGTACTTCACTATCACATGGAGTCACCTGTATTATAGAACAAGGAAACTTGTTTTTCTTCTCTAGCTAATACACTCTTTATCTATCACAAGCTTTAACCAGTAGTGTAGTGATAGGTGTGATGGCCTAAGGATATGAGTAAAGCTCTGTAGGGAAAGAGATGGACTTTCAGGCATAAGGCATTTTCACCCTTCCCTCTGCTATTTACCCAGTGGAAAAGGAAAATGCATATAATTACATAGATTCAAGCCTCATGCTTAGGGAAAAAAATACACATAGCAAAACAAAACAGAAAATAGCTTATGTTTAAAGAAAAGTAATGGCAGCATGTTGTTCAGCAGCAAGAAAGGTGAAGGAGAATTAAATTTTTTTCTTCAAAGGGAAACTCCTGAAAACCACAGCTTTCCTAACTGCAATCCACACACATACACACACAGAGTACTTATCACCACCGTACCCCTGCATCTTCTCCATGTTGTGCCCTGCATGCTGAAGAACTGGCATCTATTTGGCTGCTTTACCTTTGCTGTCCACCTTTTGTGATTACATCAGTATTATTCCTCTAAGCTTAGAAGGGAATTTTGGGAAGGAACAGCTATAACCTCTCTGCCCACAGGAGCGCCGCTGGTTTGTGTTTCCATCCAGAGATGAGCAAAAAGGGAGCTTTGTTTTTTCAAAGCCGGCCAAGCAGTTATTTTCATGTTAAGGAACACCTGAAATGTCTCCCCACACGGGGGAAGCCAAAGAGAACCGCCCAGGGCTGGGTTTCCATGGGAGCATCAGATGTGACACTGGGATAGCTGCAGATACAGCAGTGTCTCGAGTGGCACATCTCTCAGGACACCCAAACATGGCAGGGCTGGGTGCTGGTGCAGCCAAGGTCAGCTTGCAGCAGAAAATCTGTTCCAGGCAACAAACAGACCCTTCAACCTCACACAAAGAAAGAGAATGCATTCCATAGAAATAATGAAAGCTACCCAAAGTGTAACACACCTCTAAAAGGTGTAATGATGGTTGCTGCTTTAGGATTTCCAATTCCCCTGAACACTCTTTTCTCCTGTTTGTTAAACAATATTCAATGTAATTTATGATGCTAAAGCCAAAATTACTGTCCCACAGCTTCACTGAATTGTATGTTTGCTTCTCGTTCTACAGGGAAACAAGGAAGAGATGGTGAAGTTTCTGGAGAAACTGGCAGGGAAAACCTGTACTGAATTAATAATATCAAAATATTTTGACTTTTTTGGGTAATGCTTTAAAACATTTGTCAACAAAATTCAGCAAGCCTGTTTTAAAAATGAAATTTCAATACACAGTAGAATAAAAATAATTTCTGTGATGCAAAAACAGATTTAAACTTTTATTTCTAAAAGAGGGCAAAGTTTAAAGCCAACTGGTGAAATTTTGAGTCAAAACATACTAGGGGCAATTTAACCAGATCTAATTCACCTATATTTCTTAAGCATTAAAGAAGAAAATGCAACCACATAAACCTAAAAATCTCATTATAAAGGCAAATTATTCCTGCCCAAAATCACAAGGTACAACAAGCAGTCAAAAATAAAGCCACTTAAAGCTGCTGAGGAAAAAGGTCCCTTCATGCAACCAACATCAGCCCTGGGACAGACTACTGAAGATAAGGGCAACATAAATTTACAACACTCTAGGCTGCTATCAACACCCCTTGTCTCACTTTAATTTGTTTCCCATGCAAGCACACTCCCACTCCATCTTGCTGGCTGGGCATTGCCCATCAGCTGCCCACCCTCATTTTCTCTGGCAGGGTTTGTTATGGCAGCCCCTGGACCTTTCAGCTGCAGCTGGATCACTGTCTGGACTTTTAGTTGTTGTCTTTAGAGACATCTCATCTCCCAGGAGAGCACTGGAAACCACTCCAACTCAAAGGAGTGTCAAAAACAACAGATAAATTTTGCTTCCTTTCCCCCCCTGTGCCACCTCACACAGGGGCCACCTCCCCATGGAGCAGAGGCCCTACAGATGGTTCGTGGCACTCTCCGCTACAGGCACTGTAGCCAATGGATGAGCAAAAGCCTTCAGAAGGCAGTGGAAATGGTGTAATACTTCAGAAAGGAACATCAGCCTGCTCACTGCTCGAAGAGCAATTCAAAATTAAATTTTCTTGCATCCCAGAAATATTTTGTCCTCTTGAACACTGCTTCTTTTTTCTACGGGACTCATATCAAGCGCCAAAATAGGTGTATATGAAACTCCTGTAACTCCTGTAATGATCTGTTATATTGGATACACTAATTTGACTGGTATGTATGAGCAAAATTACAGTGGGATTTTCAGCTGGAAGGGACTGCAAGTGAGCAGTTTATCATTTCAATGCATTGGGAGTAATTCAATCACAGGAGGCTGTTACAACAATGCAGCAAGGAATAATCAACAGCAACACAATGGCCCCTAACTAGAGCAAAACAGCTTCCAGCCCTTTCAGAGGAAAACAAAGAATAAAACAAATCACAAACAAAAATCCCTCCACACAGATAGGAAAGCTCAACAATGGAATAAAGGGAAAACAAGGGATAGCTGCACCAGGCTCAGTGACACCCTTTCTCCCAGTCAAGTACCAGTTTTTTACCCATTCCATGCCAGAGCAGCTACGGACCTATTTCACAGCACACAAGAGCAGAGAAAGGGCTTCTTCTCCTTCTCCTTCCTGACCCACTGCAAGATACAAGGCCTGCAGCTTGATCACATTCTTAATTCAAGAATCCTACTGTTTTCCTGTCCTCACTCAGACCATCAACACCCCCATGCACCCAGAATGAGAGAGGTGGTCCTTCCTTCAGTAGTTTGTAGTTTATCTTATTGAATTCTTTTGGTACTGCTCCTCTCTTACTCTTCCTACAGAAACACAACTTCCCTCCAGGACTGCATCAGAAAAGCCTTTAAGTGTGCGGCTGCAGAAAGAGTTTAAAGAGAAAAAGTGAGGGAAGAAATAACAAAAAATCCCAACAATCTCGTCATCAACAAAGAGGCAGAAATTACCATGTTCTGAATTGTTTATAAATTGCAAATGGTGTTGTACTGACAACTGCTATAATAAATGTTTTTGCAGTCAGAGGATCCACAGTATCAAGGGGTGAAATAATGCTCTGTTTTTCACATGAAAGGGAGTCCCCTCCTTAAACAGGAGTGTACTCCTACCATGAAACTGCTGAGAAAAGTAATCAGTCACAAGTAATAGTCACAAAGCCATTCTGACATTTAGCATTCCTCCATGGGCAATATCATTATACAGGCTTAAATAAATCCCTCCAGCAGCCAGTTGTGTCTTTATTTTCCTTAAAGGAAACTCAGGTAATTAGTTTGTTCTTTCCCCTAAAATATGTTTTAGGGGAATTTACATAAATTCAAAAAGCTGACTGGCAAAAGCCAAATTTAGGAATTGGTTGGGAAACTCCAAGGCCAATTGTTGGCTCAGGGGACCTATCATTTCTCAAGATCCATAACTTATCCCAAGGAAGACCTACAAAAATGAGGTGGGGGGGGGGGGGATATCAACAGGTTAATGACAGCTCTCACACCCCTAATGCTTTTCAAAACTTTACCAGAAAAATGGCATTTACACTGCAAAGCCACGTTGTGTGATGTAGATCCAGGAACTGTAACCCCAGACACACAATTACATGCAAGCCAGCTAATTAACACCAGTGTGCTGACTGCACCAAAATTACCTAGGAATGTATACCAGAGATCCTGAACTGGGCTTTCCATCCCTCACTGATGGAGATTGCTTTATTCATAAGGCACTGATGTTAATGGTGACAGTTTTCTATCCTGGATTAAGCCTGCTCCAGTGCTGACTGACACCTTTAGCAGTGACTGATGGAAACTACAGTTAGGCCAGAGACCTTCAACAAGCATCAGACCAGTACAGAAACATCACTTCGACCCACTGGCAGAGCTACTGGCTGAGTGAGGTTCCCCTGCAGTCCCTGGGGTCAGAGCAGGTAGTGTTGGAAAAGCAGGGAAATGTTTCCACCATTTTCTGACAAGTGGGTAGTCTGATAGAGATCGCAAATGACAGTGCAAAATGGGTGTTTATGGGCAGAATCAAGCCTGTGAGAAGGAAAAGGGGAGTCTGAAACAAATCTGGCAGGTGCACTGGGGAGATAAAGATCCAGAAGCTCTTTGCCTTAGTTGTAATTAGACAAACACACATACACACACACAGGCAGAGTCTTCTGCACAGCAATCTGCAAGATGGGATCTTGGCTTTTTCAGTGACAATTTTGGTGATGAGGGGAGCCAGCTCTTTCTAAAAGCATCAGTAAACCAAGGAATTGATACTTCAGACTCTCAAGCAAAAACTGCACCCTACCACTGTCACTTGTAGCAACCCTCCATCCCTAAACCAGCATCACTCAGATGATGCAGGAGAGGAAAGCAAAACAGTTCTTGGAGGAAAGCTTTAAAGAGAAACTCTAATGTGTTTCAAGTTTCCCATGGGGCTGGCACTTTAGAATAGGGGGTTTGAGTGCTGCTGCTTCTCCAAACCAACAGAGTAAGTGTTGGGTGATGGGCAGGATCCCAGCAAGCAGCTTCCTCAAAACACAGTTTCCAGAGGCACACAGAGCTGAAGGCGCACTCTTGTAGCCATGGTAAAATTCTTCAAGAGATGTCTCTAAAGACACACGGCACTGCAAGACAAGACTATAATTACTAGGACTGTTCAACAGGCCATGTAGTTTTTAACACAGTGCTGGAGTTTGGAATGGATTTTCAAGAGCAGAATGAATGAATGAATGAATGAATGAGATGATTAACAGGCAATAAATGTATAATTTAATTCTGGGCAGTGATGCCACGTGCAGCCTTTAGAGAAGAGCTGGGGAATTTGCAGTTGTCTGTCCAACTCACCGGGCACCACTCCTTTGATGTCGCTTTCTGTGCTCATCTTGTTCTTGTGCGTGAACTGAAGGATCAGTTCCTTGGATGCCTCAAACTGTTGTGTAGCCATCAACCACCGAAGAGACTCTGGGAAAATACTTTAAAGAGGAAAACAGGTTAGGGCTGCCTCCAATTTTCTGTTAGAGGATGAACTGGTAGAGTTTTAATTGCTCATTTAACCACTCAGAAGCCACGCAATTATTTCAAAATACAGAAGAATAACTTATGAAACAAAAAAGGGGGAAAATAGATTCAGAATGTGCAAATTTATGATATTTTCTTTTACCCTGATTCACAAATCATAGAGCAAATATCCTACCACATGGAAATATGACACATTGGAATTTTATAACATATTACGGGTGCTCTGTCCATTAATATAACCTGAAAGAAATGAGAGGAAGAGGCAGCACTGTCTGCAATAGACATTTGATGCCAAGAAGGGAGTGAATGAGATGAGCAGCTCACACATGGTAATTAAGAGCAAAGAAAGAAAACAGCTGACAGAAGTAATTTGGGTTCTCTTTTAAAGACAGATAAAAGAGAAGAATTACTTAGGATAATAAGCTTCCCTGACTAAAGATAATATTTTGTTAGTTGCCTTAAAAACATATACATGCATAGAGTTAAAAAAGTTCATTTTCCATCCAATTGTTTCTTACAAGTGCTGATATTAACCAGATTAATGAGCTTAACTGGTCACTCTCCCTTTTTTTTTCCAAATGAGTTTATTTTAATACAAAAGAAATACATAGCTCTTGGAACAAACCCCCCAAACCTCCCATACTTCTATAGACACAAAAACTTCAGATCTCACTCTGGTTTTTTTTCATGTTAAGACCTCGATTTTACTACTCTTCCAAAAGACCTTATTAAAAAAAAAAAATAATTGTACCTGGTGAACAATTTGAACCTGGTGAGCCAATGCATGCACTCCTTCCTGCTGACCTTTGGTTTTCAGTATTTTCCTCGCACAGCTGGCTGATAGTCTGCTACCTCCTCCATCAGGAAGGAAAGGGCCATGCTTTCACAGTCATGGAAAGAACAGGGGGTGGGGTAGGGTTAAACTTTCATCTCCTGTTCCACAGCTGCTGCTGCTTGGGAGAGGAGAGGAGGATGACTGGAAGGCACACTGGGGAAAAAAGATATTAAGTTTGAGACATCCTAAGAAGAGAGAAGAATCCTTGATGAAGACCAGGAAGGTACCACATGTAGCTGGAAGGAGAACTGTGATTCTGTGCAGATGGGTGGAAAATGGATGCCCATGGAAAGGCTGTAATGTGTTGTCAATTAGGGGGTCTGCCTCAGGTCGACAAACACAGTTATTGCAACTTTGTGTCTTGGTGCAAGTAAATCCTATGTAAAACACCAGAAAAGAACCAGCCACCTCTTCTATTTCTTCAGTTTTGGTTAGAGTGAAGGAGGATTTTATTTCAAATTATTGATGCCTTTACTGACATTCATGGCATCCTGTCTGGAGCTTCCTTTGTTCAAGGGAGAAGAAATAAGGTCTCTGTATAGCTGGAGTTCCCCTTCCCTTAAGGCTCTAATACCCACACACACTTGAAAGGAGTCTAACTTCTATTAAATTATCTTTATATACATGCCACAAACCCCTGTGCCCATATCTAACTTACATGGGTGCCTTTCTGCCCTTCCAGAATTACCTAAGAGCCCTGTAGGAGTATCTGCTCCATACTTTTGTATCCAAGCCCATACTTTTGCATCCAAGCCCATCCCTCCCAGACAAATCTGCTGCCTCCCCTTTTTCCCCCATTCATGCCCAGCTTCCCAATCCACTCAGCCATGCATCTCCTGGGGACTGTGTAGCCTGCCATGTGCATGTGGCCAACACAAGAACAAAACCATAGGTGGGAAGAGGGCTAAGTCCCAGTCTGGAGGGGCAAACAGTGCTCTCACAGCAGGAGATGGAAGTAAAGGGAGTACAGAGGAAGGAGGAGGTAGTGCAGGGGCTATTTGCAGCATCTGTGGACTCACTGCTTTGGGTACATGATAGGGAATTAGCAAGTAGTGCAGTTTCCCAGTTCTTTTATTACCAATCAGTTAGTTTTCTTCCTTTATCTGTAACACCCGCTGCGGGTCCATGTTCCATTTGGAAGGAAAGAAAGAGATAATAAAATGGTAACACTTCCCAGAGAATATGCAACAGATGGAAGCGAAAAGCCTAAGAGAAAAGTACATACTGTACCGACAATATAATTGAAGAGGCATCCCAACCAAGGTTCATTTCTGCAAATGCAAAAACCCTGGGCAACACAAATCCTGATCCTCTGGCTATTACCACTACTTCTCAAGCTGCTATGCTCCACAATATATAAGGGGGACTTATTTGCTTGGTTAGCCTGCCCTGTCCAGCTAAAAAGCCACAGAGTTCCTGCAGATTACAGAATAAATTTTAGTATTTCCTGTCTCTTTCAGTGTCACTCAGGAACGACCTCTCAACAGGAATGTGTGAGGCTATGCCAAGGCCCCATGAAAGATGTGTGGCCACCAGAAGACTGCTGAGGGATGTCTGCTCTCTATGCCATCCCCCATGTTCATTAGGCATCTCCATACTACTGTCCCATTCTTTTCCAACTACTGTACCATACTTTTGGACACAAATGTCTGTAAATATTCTGTTTGATATTGTGTTTTATCTAGTGGTGGACATCAGGTATTCCTGCTGGCAGCCATTACTATGAAGCTTGGAGCAGACCAGCATGTGTATAACATACAGCAGGTAAGGGAGAGAAGAAGAGAATCACAGATTAACAAAACCCCTCTTCATTATTCATCAAGATTAACACTGTTAATCAAGAGGAGGCTATTTAAATGCTGCATGTTTGAATACAGGGGTAACCTCCCACCCCTGCTGTAATTATCTTGCAAGGGACTTGTAACTCTCCTGAGTGTACATTTTGCCCATGTTGAGGCATGTCTGCTTTGGGAATAAGCAGTAAAATCCCCACTGAAGGTTACCACCATCAACACAGGAGGGCTCTGTAAAAAGTTAATAGAAAAATAGAACTGTTACATACTCTAACAAGTTTTTACATGTTGTAACTTGTCAGGCATTACAACTAGCAGCCTAGCTCACCATGGTACTTAACAAGCTTGGTCCTGCACAGAGTAGTGGCCATTTTCCTCATTTTTCTCAGTGTACAATAATGAAATATTTTAGACTTGTTAGTGTTCTTATTGTTACGGTTTTGTACAACACTACTCTCATAAGCCTCTGCTGTCTTATGCCACCACTGCGTGTCACTATTAAGACAGAACAACAAAGACAGATTTTTTGGAATGCTTATAAAGTCATGGTGGAGATGGACCTGGCACTATTCCCAAGGTGGAAGCCATCCTACTTCTCTCAGATAGCTGTACCAACACCACAGTGCCACAGGCACAGAGGAGTGGGACCGGGTGGGAGTGGGGAATTCCTTACAGGAACAATCCCAAGCCACTGCCTGGCACAGACCAGCCACCTTCATGCTTCAGCATAGCATGTGCTAATTTGGGCAAAATCAAGTCTAGTTCAGGGCTGACTACCTCATGCATACAAAACATCCAAGTGTGCTTGTTCCAGGGCTGACAGATGTTATTTGTAACTTTTCTTGGATCAAAGAAACCAACAGTGTCAGTCCAGAACCACAACATAGGTATTAAGGGAAAATATAGCCATGCAGTCACAATCTGACAACAACCAGGCTGGGATGCATCCTCTCAAGAACTATTTTAGTCCTTAAACGGGACGTGACAACCAGAATAATAACAAAGTACAACTTCACCTCAGTGAAAGGGAACTGTCTCCCAAGTGCCCACTGTGTTGCAGGGTGTAGCACATGTGCAGGAGATTATAAAGTTATTATTTCTTATTTCAAAGTCAAGCTTTGCACAAGGTGAATGGAAGAGCAAAGGGAAAGGCTCCTATGTATTGTGAAGCACACACACTTCCCGACATTGGAACATCTCCCAAGTCCAACATCAGGAGCTCGTTGGCAGGAGGAAGAAATACTTACACCCAGTAAAACAGCATCAGCAGGAAGGGACAGATGATGACTGCCTGGAGGACCTGCCAGTCCCTGCAGAGGGCAGCCAGCCCTGGCATGAGGAACTGCCCCGCCATCTCGATGAAGCTCGCCACCATGGTGATCATGAACCGGTGCCCGGGAGGACAGAGCTCTATCCCTGAAACACAGAGTACACAGACAATCAGCCCCCAACAGCAAAGACACCCCCAGAGCATCTCTAAGAAACTTAAAGGGAGTTCATGTCCTACAGGAGCTCTGGTCAAAGCTATGCAGAATCAAGTAAGTTTTGCTTCCTCCCATATTTAGGCTCTAGAGAAGCCCATTAACAGCTGTCTGTGGTGCAAACATTGCAACTTCCATATGCCTGTTGTATCCTCACTGCCAGGCTTCCTTCAGTCTCTGCCTAGAGAAGTATTTTACTTAACAATAAGGTGTTTATTTTTAAAAGGGAATGTATGGTGAAACACAAGCCAAAGATCTTGGGTCATGGTTTTTCACACTTCTCAGAAACACCTCCTGCCTTTCCAAACAGTTTGCTGGGAGGCGGAAGAGCACAGCTCTCAGCAGGATTCAGGCACCCAGCTCAAATGGGATGCCACCTGCCCACAGCTTAATATGCTCTGACTCAGCCAATTCCAAGCTGGATTTTGCTGAGCGTGTTGTTTCTGGGTTTGCTTTTCCCAATAGCTTATCTTGGTCAACTTTCAAACAGGCCAACCTCCCATCTGTCTCATCCTGCCTTCCATCCTTCCTTTTGCTGCGAGGCAATTTACCACCATCAGTGGTATCTTTGGTTGCCTCAGCTGTCTTGTGACAAGTGAGTAGATAAAACTCAGTTCACTAGATCAAATGTTTCCTTAAACCCTGAATTCTGGCTAACTTCATTCAGTCAGAAGATGAATTTGTCAGAATCACAGACTAACAACAAAATTTTAAAAAGTCACAGAAGAAATAGCAAACAAAAATGCAAACAAAATGCAAATAAAAAATGGGACTGGCTTGTGGAAATTTTTTCACCAGTAGGATTATAATAGAAGCCTCTAGATCATATTTCCCATTTGCCCACATTCACTTGCACAGACTAATACTTTAGCTCAATAAACCTGCCACAAATGTTGTGTAGCACTTATTGGAATGCTGATACAGAAAGAGGCCTGTAAACATTTGTGATATGTTGCTGTCAGCATTGTTGCTTTTCTATGGGGTGTTTCCTGTGGTGGTTTTAAATTAGAATTTAATGGTTATTAAAAATTTAACAGAAAAGCTTTAAGAAAATAGGAAGAGATGACAGCTGCTCCTTCATTCACTCTCTAACTTGCAGTTTGCATTTATCACTGTAACACAGATTTAAAGTAACTGACCGGGAACAAGCTTGTATATCAAATGCAGGATTAAACACCACACATTTTGTTCCCTGTCTTTTCAGCCAACACAAAAACTACCAATGGATTTTTGCCAATAAAAAAGGAAACTGTATCTGTTGTCAAGCAGCCCAAATTTTCATTAACCTAACCACAAACACAGCAGCTTTGGAAATGAAAAGGGGAGAAAAAGCTCTCAAAGACTCTCACATGCTATAAAAGGCTTTTACATTTTAATTTGGTAAAAAAGATTAAAACGCAGAGCTCCTTATGACATTAATATGGTTTCATTCTTACTAATGAAGTATCCCAAGCCTAGGAATTTTTTGTTGTTCTATGCAAAGAGGTCACTTCCGTTTTATTTCTCTAATCTCCAAATATAAAGTGCTTCTGTTTGTTTTTCTAAACCTTAAAGTAACAGCTACTCACACTGCAATATTCCTTCATTAAGTACAAGGTCGAGTTTTGTTGCTATAGAAACAGGAAGTCTGCATTAGATATGTAAGGCTTTAGCATTTCAATTGCATTGCTCAGGTTAGTATCAGGTAAAAATAAAAATAACCGAGATATCAACTTTTATATAAAGTCAGGAAGCAGTGACCAAATAATAAAAGTATATTTTATTAAGTCACTGGTGCACAGTAAAAAAACTCTGCATGCAGCAGTTATTCATTGCATAGAAAGGAAATAGCTTCAGAGATTGTTTAGCATCTATTTTCTTCTCTGGATTATCACATGCATATGATCAGTTTCTGCCCTTTTCTCTAAAAAAGCTGGAGATGACAAGAAAATAATCCCTCCTCTAGCTGGGTGATTGTGACTTTTAAGCAACACCAGCAGCATATGAAACACCACATCTCTGTTGAAATGCTTTACATATTAGGACAGCCTACTGACTTTGCAACATATTTGGCTTCAATTTTATACGACAAAAGATTCAGCACTGCAGTTTTTAGCAAGAATATCTCAGTGAACCCTTTCCCAGGTCTGCAGCAAAGCCACCCTCCGCAGCAGCCTTGCCCTAGCAGCAGGACAGGCACCCAGCTGATGCTCACACTGAGGCCTCTGCGGCTGCAACAATTTCCACCCGGTTCATATGACAAAAACACCAACTCAGACAAAACCACTACAAGACTGAGAGCAGCTTTACGCACCCATGGCAAATCGAGCAAGCAACCTTCAGCTCCTGGAATCAATGAAAAGTTTCCATCTCTATTACTTTGTGGAGCATGGAGCAAACCCTCGTCATGCACACTAATCACGGAAATTATCATCAATACCAAAAACTCCCAGATACATCCATTTGCTCTACTTGGGAAATTTTGTGTGGGCAAGGAGACATGCATATGAAGATTTTGCCTCCTTGCCCAGCATTCCTACTCTATGCAGCTCAGTCAGAGCAGCAGATCCAGCTCAGAGACCTAATTTCCCCAAGGCCCAGGCAAGCGATCCTATGGGCAAGTTGAAACCTTCATGGAAAACTGTCCTGCAGCACTCGGGCAGTGAGATCAGGCGTGCTCAGGACACATGGGACAGATGCTCACAATCAATAGGCACTCAGCAACAGTGCACAAACAAACTGGACCCAGACAACCCCTAAGGCAAAACTGGTCCCAGCCTGAGGGCAGCTGTCTTACCTCAGGTGTGACCCAGACCTGGGCCCCACGGGCATCCCAGGGCACTGAACACATGAGACATGCACAGTGAATTGCACCTCTAGCTGGGAAATGTGGAAACCAGGTCCTGGCGCCACACATGTTATGCCACGAGCACTCAGGCTTGCTGGGGTGTGAGTGAGGGGGCCACTGAAGAAGCTCTGCGGCACCCTGGGCATCAGCAGAGAGACATGGTAAAACCGCAGGTCAGACAACAGCTTAACCATGCCAATAGAACAGGCACTGGTGACAAGTGACAAGGACTTTACATCAGAAAGGGCAAAATGTCTTTGCTAACAACTTCTCTCCCTGGCACTGGGATGGACAAACTGGGCTGGTATCCTTTACAACAGGTTTTCAGGCAACCTCTTCTGAAAAGAAGATGGGAAAGTGAGATAAAATCACTGCAAGTATGCCACAGCCTGACATCTGAAATGCCGTCCTCTCCCCTTTCCAACTGGTTTTTCTCTCCCGTCCTCTCCACCTGCAGCAGAAGGAGCAGCCTAGGAACATACAGACAGGACACCAGGGAGAACTGCAGTGTCACTGGTTAACATCAGCTCATGTAGCCACAGAGCATGGCCCTGCATAGCCCACCTCCTCCAAATGCCACCAGGCAAGCTGTCACTGCCATGGAGGGACTAAGATCTACATTCTGTCCTTTCTCACTCGATCTTGCACTTGCACACTGGCAACAATCTGTTTCAGATTTCAGAAACCCTCTCGTTTTTCTTAGAAGGCTGACATTTATTCTCAGAATATTTGCTCAAGGATGAAAGGCAAATACTTCTATTTAAAAAAAAATAAAGAAGTTAAGTCATTTGCAAATAGCACATCAAGAGGAAAAAGAGGCTACATTGCACTGCTTGAACAACTCTCTAGCATTCACTCACCCATCTCCAGACCCAAAACACAAAGCAATTCTTGTTCTGCAGCCCAAGTTTTAGCTCCATCTGAAACCACAAGGTAGCAGCTTTTTGTGCCTTTCCAGTGTTGTCTCCCTGCCTAGTTTCCATTTGTAAGCCACCAAGACTGTAATTATATAGGAGTATCCCTTGGAGAAAATGGCCAAGACAAAGCACCTGCTGGCCAACAGCATTCACACTGAAAAAAATCCCCAAGGAGACTGTCTGATTCTAGATTCATGCTCACAGTTGCATATTATATTAAAAAAACCCCAACAAAACAAAATCCTCCAGTTTCTGTCAGCTTCCCCCATATTACTGCACACCCAATACTTTTAATTCCTTCCATCTTAGCACCCCTCTGAGATGTCCCTCTTCTTCAAAAGGGAGGGAAAAAATGAGACTCAGGAGAAAAAACACTCATAATTTGAGAAGGATTCTCTGGCAACATAGCTTTAGGTGTAAAATGTGGGACCCCAGAAATTCCCAGTGGCAGTAACAGCCTACAGCACCAAGGCTGTGTTTGCCTCAGCCCCAGCAGTTGCTCTGCTCAGCCAAAAGTCCAGCGCAGGATGTGACCTTGAGAAAGAATTTTGCATTTGGACTCTGCTTTTCATCAGAGCACAAAAGGAAAGAAAAAAACCTCGAAGAGTATTTAGTTTCCCAAGCTGTTCAGCACCTCCAGCACGTCCCACCACCTCCGTGCTCCCTGAGGTCACCCTTTTGGCACGATGAGCTCTGCCACCTCCGTCACAGTGATCTTGAAGACTGCTGGGAGGTGACCCTGTCCCTGCTGCTGCTGTGTTTCCTAATTCCCACCAAGCTCTCTCAAACCTCTGGGACCTTGTCTTCCTCCATCACTCTCTGTGGGATTTGCCCTCTGCTGTAAACAAATTGTCTCACTGGATTCTCCTAGAATAACACGGCCTCCAAGCTAGCTTTTGGCTAGCTGACCAGATAAAATTGCAGCAAAAACTATCAATAATTCCCAGACAAGTTTGCAGCTGGCTGCTAGGGGGACAGGAAAATAAAATCCAACATATCTTTTTATATACACAAATTTGCCCTTGGTTACTAGACACAAACTTCTAAGAGCTGCAAGCCCTACTCATGGGCAACGTACACTTCTCATCTCTCAGTCAGCACACTTCTGATTCAGTCCTGGCTGAAATGGCCTAGGCTAAGCCAACACTCACTCCTGCATGAATTTAGACAAGGAGCACATCATCTTGATTG